GCTGGCCGGGGCGGCTCTGGGGCCCCTCCACGGCGGAGCGGCGCAGCTCCGTCGGACGGTACTACTTGAAGTGCTTGCCCGCCGCCAAACATGTGCACGTGGCCTGACCGATGCGCGTGTGAGGTGTGTTGCAGCTCCCTGTTCCCGGCGACTTGTGAGCGTGTGACCCTGTGAGAGTGGCTGCGTGACTGTGTGGAATGTTTGGCGGCTGTCGCGCTGTGTGAGCGGCGGGTCGGGGGGACGTGTTGTGAGCCCTAGGCGCTAGGGGGGAGCCCAACTCTGGGTTTTGGGAAGGGTTGATGACAAGATCAAGTTGATTGGTACAACTGGCGTTCACGGCACGATCGATACGCCACACGGAGCATGTGCGAATCCTGGTCGGCGTTCACGCACGAGCGAGACGCCACGACGAGACGACAGTTCCAGCCCTTCGACAGCGCCCCAGTCGTCCTTGGCAAGCCCCGATCCCCTCGCGCCGTTTCACTCTCTGCCGCCGCATGGGCAAGGGCGGCTCGTCGACCGCGGCGGTGGAGGCGCCCGCGGTGCGCGGCGCCAAGGGCAAGCTCGTGGCGCGCACCGACTTTTTCTGGGACGACAACGACGAGCCGCATGCCGCGCGCCGCAAGGCGATCATGAAGGCGCACCCCGAGGTGTCAAGGCTGACGGGTCCGGAGTGGCGGTCAAAGTACATCTGCCTCTTTGCGCTGGTGCTGCCGCAGATCTGGCTCTCCGTTGTGACGGCCGATCTGCCATGGCTGCCCTACCTCGCCATTGCGTACGTTTTCGGCGCAACCATCACGCAGGTCCGAGCGCGCCCCGCCGCCACGACCGCCCCGACCGCCGCGCTGCCGCCGCGCTGTGCCTCGACCCGTCCCTCCGGCGTGCCGCGCGCCTTTGCGCTCCAGCCCGGCCCTCGACCGCCCGCCGCGCGCCGCCCTCGCGCGCCGTGCGCGCAGCCTGCGCCCCGGCAGCCTGCGCCCCGCGCCGCCCTCCTGACGCGCGGTCGCGTGCTCCTCCCGCAGGCGCTCTTCCTCGCGATCCACGAGCTGGCGCACAACCTCTTCTTCAAGTCGCCGCTGCACAACCGCCTCTTTTCCATGGTTGCCAACTGGCCGATTGGCATCCCGTACACGATTCCGTTTCGCGGCTACCACCTCGAGCACCACAAGTTCCAGGGCGTGGACGGGGTCGACACGGACGTGCCGTCGTACTTCGAGGCGCAGCACATCCGCGGGCCGCTGAGCAAGACTGCCTGGGCCTGCTGCCAGATTCTCACCTACGCCCTCCGCCCGATGTTCATCAAAGCGCAAGACATCACCGCGATGCACGTCACCAACTGGGCGGTGCAGATCGCATTCGACGCGGCGATGCTGTACGCGTTCGGGTGGCGGCCGCTCGCCTACATGGTGCTCTGCATCCTCCTCGCAGGCGGCCTCCACCCGTGCGCCGGCCACTTCATCTCTGAGCACTACGTCTTTCCGCACCTGGCGCCGAAGCAGGCGCGACCCTCCCTCCCTCCCCTCCCTCCCTCCCCTCCCTCCCTCCCCTCCCTCCCTCCCCTCCC